GCATTGCACACTGATAGCTCCACAATTCCAGGGTCTCCATGGTGGTTCTGCTCTCACAGCTCCACTGGGCATGGCACTGCTGGGGATTTTCTGCTGCAACTCTGACCCCACGTTTCCATTTGGCATTGCTCTAGGGAAGACTCTATGCAGTGACTCCACCCCTACAACAGATCTCTTCCCAGACCCCCTGGCTTTTCCATACATCTTTTGAAATCCGGGTGGAAGCAGCTCCCAAGCCTCCACAGCTCTTGCATTCTGTGAGCCTGCAGACTTAACACTACATGGGCACTGCCAAGGTTTCCAACTTGTATTTTCCAAAGCTGTAGGTCCAGCCACCCCTGGGGCCAATTCAGCCACAGCTGGAGCAGCCAAAGCAGCTGGGGTGCTGTTGTGGAGGGCAGCCTCCTAAGATGACCCTGGGCTGCAGGCTGGTAAAGGGCACCTCAGGCCTGTTCCCTGAGACCATTGTGTTTCCCTAGACCTCTGGGCCTGTAATGGAAGACGCAGCCTCCCAGGTCTCTGAAATGCCTTCAAGGTGTTTTTTCCCTTTTCTTGATAATCTTTCTTGTGCACTGATTTCATAGCCAATAGTTGTACACCATTGAATTGTTCTCCTGCAAATGCTCTCTGCTTCTCTACCAAATGGACAGGCTACACGTTTTCCAAATCTTTACACTCTGCTTCCCTTTTAAATTCTGGCTTTATGTCATGCCTTTGCCACCATAACTCAGCATAGGCTGTTACAAGTAGCCATGCAGCTTCCTTAATGCTTAGAAATTTCTTCCACCAAATACCCTGGGGCAATACCTTTAAGTTCCATGTTCCATAAAGCTTTCCCACATGAACAGAATGCACCCAGGTTTCTTGCCAGTTCATAGCAAGGATGATCTTTGCCCCAGTTTCCACTAAGTTCCTTCTCATTTACATCTGAGATCTCCTTAGAATGGCCTTTACTGTACATATTTCCATAAGCATTCTGGTTACCACCATTTAACCAGTCTCTAAAGCTTTCTCTGGTTTTCTTGTTTTCTAAACTTTCACCAGCATCTAGGCATTTTCTATCCTGTTCTTCCAAATTCTTCCAGCCTCTCCTTAACACCCAGTTCCAAAGCCACTTCTATATTTTCCAGTATTTATTATAAGCAACACTCCACTTCTCTGGTACCAATTTTCTGTGTTAGTCTGTTTCTGTTGCTTGTAACGAAATACCTGAAACTGCATGATTCATAAAGAAAACAAAATTTATCGCTTAATTTCAGAGGCTGGGAAGTCGAAAGTAAGGGAACACATCTGGTGAGGGTGTTGGCAGTGGTGACAGTGACCCAGGTGTCTCATATGGAACAAAATGGTAAAACAGAGAGAAGGATACCTCTCATGTGCTTTTTTGAAAGCCCTCAGAACTACATCCCTGATCACCATTATTAACCCATTCACTGTGGCACAGTCCTACAATCTAATCACCTCTTCAAGGCTCTACCTTTCAATTACCATAATAGGATTCCCCACCTTCTTAACACCCTCACAGTGGGGGTCAAGTTTTGGCGAGGACACTCAATCCAAGGCAATATACAAAGGAAATGAAATCAGTACGTCAAAGAGATACCTGCACCCATGTTCATTGCAGCATTCTTCACAATAGCAAAGATATTGAATCAAACTAAGTGTCCATTAATGAATGGATAAAGAAAATATTGTATATATACACAATGGAATACTATTCCACCTTCAAAAAGAGGGAAGTTCTGTTATTTGGGACAACCTGGATGAACCTCGAGGACATTACGTTAAGTGAAATAAGCCAGACAGAAAGACAAATACTGCATGATCTCACTTACATGTGGAATCTAAAAAAGTTGAACTCAGAAGCAGAGAGTAGAATGGTAGTTACCAAGGGCTGAGAGTAGGAATGGGAAGATGTTATGTTGGTCAAAGGATACAAAATTTGTTAGATTTGAGTAAATAAGTTCAAGAGATCTATTGTACAACATGGTGACTATAGTTAATAAATAACAATGTATTACATTCTTAAAAATTGCTAAGAGTAGATTTCAGGTATTCTCACCACAGAAAATAATTATGTGAGGTACTGCATATGTTAATTAGCTTAATAGAGCCATTCCCCAATGTATATATGTGAAAATATGTTGTACATGAAAAATATGTACAAGTTTTGTCAATTAAAATAAATATCAAAAAAATTCTTACCCTGATTGAGCTTACATTCTAGTGGGGGGTAGGCTATAAAAAACAAGCATAATAAGTAAATCAACAGTATGTTAGAAGGTGATAAGTGATATGGGAGCAGGGCAAGAGGATCAGGTATTTTGAGGAAATAAGGAGATAGGCAGTGGTTAAAAAGGCTTTCAAGATGTTTAACAGTGAAGGGAAAAGGAGAGCATAACTCAAGGAATTACGAAGTCTGAAAACCTGAACGCATTTGGGGAAGAATTCGGCACAGAGACTGAAAACGGTAAGGAGAAAAAAGTACTGAAGAAAGGAAAAGATGATATTAGAGGTACAGTGTGAGGATTAGTTGTGATGAGACAAAAACCACTTTTTCCCTCACACAGTGCAGAAGTTCTGGGGGTAGAAAGGAATGACATTGACACTTAGATTGGAAAAGGCATCTTTACACTTGATGCCTAACTACCAACTGTTAAGTTCATCTTTTGGGGGCAACACATTGCATTTGAAAAAATACAGAGTAGAATTCTTGGACATAATCACCAGTTTAGCAGCCAAGTAGTACCATTTATGTATAGTACTTATTTCTCCTTTTAAACTGACAAAAAAAATCCACATTCCAAAGCACATACACTCATCTTGTTAACTTTGCTTTTCTCTCCAGGGTTCAGAAGAGTAGGCAAAGGGAAGGGAACTGTGATTCTTTTGTTTAAATTAATTAAAAGCATCACCAAATGATATGCTCTGAGCATTGTGGCTGGTCTTAACATTTAATATACCCTTACAGTACATCTGACAGGGTTTGGTTTTGCAAATAATTTGATATCCTGCATACTTACGTATAGATGAGTTTCAGCTTCCAAGTAACTCATAGATTAATATTTAATAAAATCATTTGCCTGGAGATTTCCTGTGCATTCCTGTTAATCTCCTGAATTCCTTATATTTGTTTGGTGTTGCACTGAACACTCCAAAGTCAATGACAAAGTTATCAGAATTATTTTCTCATACATTTACATCCCATATGTACCTGAACATAAGCAGGTTTATTTCTCTTAGAAAAGTTCCTTAAGAAAATTATCCCTTAGAAAAGCCATCTTCCTCCAGACCAAGTAAAATTTCTTCATGAAGCACACTCTAATTACTTATTTGAACTGCAATTAATATTTAGGGAAATCACTTTAGGTTAAAACCATCTCAATCAATGTTACTTTCAGAAGGCTATAGAAAGGCCATCTGGTGAATTATTTAAAAACAAGAGGCAAAGAAATTTAACAATGATTTAGTCATTATTCTTAGAGATGGTGGCCTCAAAAACAAGCATATGACATGTTAAAAACAAGCATTTTAAAGATAATTTTTAAGAACAATGTAAGTGGTTGAATTGTGGAAATCACAATTATCTACAAGATAAATTTTAAAAATTGCTAATTTAATGTTTATACAATGGGTAATTTGAAGCATGGGATTTCTTATAACATTACACATGGGTAAAAAATAATCTTTCAAAAAACATTATTATCTTTCAAATAAACTTAAGACAACAAACTGACAGGCTTTGGAAAACCGGTAGGTGTAAAATGCCAAAGATAAATATGAATATAACAAATGAGTGAGAGAAAGTTAATATATGATTTCATATAATTAAAATATGCATATATAATAAACTTTTTTCATCTCTAAACTAGGATCTACAGATTTAAATCAAAATTTCACTTGCTTTTTAAAGTACCCAATAGCATATTTTAGGCAACATCCAGCACCACCTTCCCCCAAATGAAAAAACAAGTGACAAAACTATAGAAATCACACTAGACCAAAGACTCTAAGCCTCAGCACTACTGACATTTGAGGCTGGGTAATTCTTTGTTGTGAGGGCTGTCTGTGCATTGTAACAGGTTTAGCAGCATCCTTGGTCTTTTCCTACTACATACCAGTAGTATCCCTCCTCTCCCTGAGTTGTGACAAACAAAAATGTCTCCAGACTTGTCAAATGTCCACTGGGGGCAAAATTACTCCAGTTGAGAACCACCACACTAGATAAATGCTATGTCAAACATCTCCAGGTAAGCAGCTCCCTCCCACATTTTTCTTGATGTCCCATTTTCTTTCTGATGTTCTGAAATCTAATTAAAATATAGGTTCTTCTCCAGAGAAAACAGTTGGTTACTATTACCATTACCCATCTACTTCTCCATTAAGTGTAAAAATAAAGTGGCCTGATAAGAACTTGTAAAGTAATAAATAAGTCACAGAAAGTTAAGGCAGTCATTAGGTACAGCTCTGAGAATTAAAATAAAGGAAGGGTTCATAGAATCAAATCCATAAGATACAGCAATTGAAATAAATCTTCATCGGAATAGAAATATTAGATACTCTACACAAGTATAGAACCATGCTGTTAGCATTTACCTATATTCTGATTTTTTCATTTTGTTCAGGCTTTTCTTCTCCAAGACAGATATTTTTTTTCTTGTCCTCATAACAGCAACTTAAATTACTAGTATTAATGAAGGGGAATATAAGCATAGCCAAAATCAGATAATCCAAATAGTCTGATCTGAGACTGCATTTAATTTTTTTTTGCAATCATCTGGATTGAGTCATGTTCAAATTTACAGTCCCTGAATGGCCACAAGAGGGAGAGAAGAGATGAGAATAAAATTACTTGAAGAATCTGAACCAAGGTTAAATATTCATTAAGGATAACTGAATGTGGACTACAATGTTTTCCCAAACATGTTATTTTCATAAGCTGATGTAACTATATTCTGAAACAATAACCAAATACAAAAGGACTAACTCTCAACTTCCAGTTTATAGTTTAAAAAGAATCTCTTTATTAAACCTGTTATAATAGGATACATTTTAAAAAATGTAAGTACAAAAAAATTCTGGAAGAATTGTCACCAAAAGTCTAACCAACAAAGTTATTTTCCTTTATTTTTGCTTCTCTGAATCCTCTCAGTTTTTTCTATAATAAATGTGTATTTTTAAAACCTTGAGCAAATTTTTTATATTCCCTTTTTCTACAAATTTTATCACAGTTCATGGACTATCAGCTAGGATCCTGGACAACTGCTAACAATATTGTTTCCTGGGTTTTACTGCAAACTATGCTGAACTTTTACCACAGTAATTTTTTCTAAAGGCATTTCCTATTAACCAGAGTTAAAATGTGACCGCTGGTAAAGTCAATTTTAGATGAAAACTGCACAAAGAGCCAAATGTCTTATAATTAAATCTTTAAGTTAAAAAGTGAATACTCTATGCAGCATAAGACAAACCATAGCGCTTACCTTTTAGTTTCCCGGTTTGGCAAGAACTATCAAATTCCTTTTTAAAAGAGTACACATGTACATTTTTAATTTGGCAATTCCATATTCAGTGAAAATCAATTCAGATTTTAATTACTGTGGAATTTTGACAATTCTAGCAATGACAAAGCTGAATTTTGCTGTTATCTATCAAAAAGCAAATAACATTATAAGATTTCAAATACGTTTAACCTGGTAAAAATGAGAATACGATTCAGTCAAGAACATACCAAATAGTAATGCTGTCTGGTCATACTATTGCTATCTAGTCAGATGAGTTTCTCTTTAAATTTTTGTAGGCCCTAAATGTTCGGAATAAATATAGCATTCACATAATACTATATAGTCCATGAAAAGAGTATATTCTTTTATTGGTTTTTATTTGTACATGGCAAGTTTCAACTTTCAATAATAAAATTCAATAAATTTGATTCCTTAATAATAAAAACTTGATTTACACATTATTTACATGTTGCCAAAGTCTACAGCCATACAAAACATCACAAGGATTTGACTCCATGCATGGTACCATCACGCAGGAGGGAGCTAATCAAGTAACATACATTCAAAGATTAAACTGTAGATCTGCACAGTGTATTTGGCACTCTTCATTAATATTATAACACCTTCCTCTCAGGTATTCTTAAGCCTTAGTCGCAACATACCAAAATTTGCTATTCACATTAAAACCAGCATTTAAACTTTATAACAGTAATCAATTAGTCTTAAACAAAACACAAGAGTAAGGAATAGAATTCAAACCCTCTGACTTCTTCCTATGCTCCAAGCTGCCATCATAAAGTAGGCTTAATATGGTAATTTTTCCATTGTGAGGAGTGTCAAGAAGAAAAACTTTAAAGACAATATCCTTCAATACACATAAAGACACACACTTTCCTTTAAAATTATCAGTTCTTCTTGAGAGTGCAAAGGGAGCCCTGGTGATGCATAATTTGTGGTGATTTAGGCAGGAATTATAAAATGACCAATGCCACTCAAGTTGTGGAGATTGTACTAGCAATTGAGCTCATGTAGAGAAGGTTCTGGAATGCCTACATCTGAGTTCACAATACTTAGTAACTTGTGTAAATCTCTTCTTAGCACTTCAACAGACTGTCACAGACTCTAGATTTACTATGATGTGTACACTGTTATAAAATAGAAGGAGAAAATAAAAGTACAAAAACTCGAATTTATTAAACTTTTAGTGACTTGGGCTATATATCCCAATGGGTAATTTATTTGACTAACTTCATTTGATCACATGTTAAATCCCTTCACTTCAATTGGGCCCATTAGGTCTAATTCATTAAAGCTATATATATGCTCTAGAATGTTTATAAAAGATTTACATTTATCATGTTTATAAAAGGCATAAATTCAGTCTTAAACTAAGGCAAGAAAAAGCCTCAATAGGACATGGATCACAGTACAGGGAAACAGAAAATCAGAAATTCTCTGATAAAGTTTAGATATGTGGTAGCTTCACACAAAACTTTTTGTAATAAATTAAGACTTAAAAAGTCTTACAATGTACAAAGGACTATGATGTGCAAAGTAATGTCACTGGACCAAAATTTAGTTTAATCATTTTTATTTCAAGTATATTTTAAAAACCATAAATGGGGTTTTATAATCCAAACTCAAAACACTTATTCTTCATAGCTTCAGAATTTGACAAGCAATTCCAGACCATGCTTTCCAAATCTAGTATTCTTTACTATTTTTCAGACTTCTGAGATCTAGTATTTAAATTACTCCATTCTAAATGTACAATTTTAGATAACTATTGTACACTTGTTGATAAGAGTTTTCTGAAAACAGTCCATCAAATATAAAGAATAGTTTCTGTCCAAGGATCAGCAACGAGGGAATACTAAACACCTATGAAGAAATCATTTATTCATTAAAAAAAATAACAGAACCAGTGCTATTCTCTGTCATAAAATGGAACATGTAAAGCTAATTTTAAATATTTTTGTAGACTTTGGTAATATTTTATTCCCTACACAGGTCTCAGTCCTACTTAAAGACCTTTTATGCAAGGTCACCATCAGGATTTCTTGAGTAAAAATCCTGGTTATTAACATGGCCCTAAATGTGCTATTCCAAAGAGGAACAGGTTATTTTTGAGGAAAAGAGCTGCCTTGGTAACTTTCCTCAAATGTTTATCTTAAATAAAAATCGTTAATGAAAATATTTTTTAAACCACCTTTGGATACTATATAACATACTGCTCACCAAACAAAAAGGAAATCAAAACTTTCTTTCCTTTTTTAGGAAATTTTCTGCCTTTACTTTTAAGATTACAACTTATTTACCTTTTTTTGTTTTTCTGACTGCCTAATTCAATATTCAAACTTTTTAAATTCTTCATTTCAATGTAGTAAGAGTTCTTTTTCAAATGATCCTTACAACCCAGAACACAGACACAAGAGCAACACTCTCAAGTCACACTGTTTGACTACAACAAAGAGATGAAAATGGACGGATATTTGAAAACAGGTATTCCCTCTGCTCTGAAGGTGAGCAAACTTGTTTAACACACGAGCAACACAGAACTCCCGAGCTCTGTCAAACTCAGAATGCTTCCATTTAATAACATATTATTCTTAAAAAGTAAAGTTTGGTCACTAGGAAAGAATGAACAAAAATGATTCCCCTCCGTGCAAACAACCACCAAAACATCTCTAATCACCCCCTCTTCTCCCCACAAAAACAGGGAAGTAGCAGGGGCTGAAGACTTCAAGTCTTAAATCTCAGCTCCTAAAACATGGCTGCTATTTGCTCAAAGTTGCAGGTCTCTGTATTTCCTTCTCCAATACTTCCCCCATTTATAAGTTTATTTCCATACATACAACATGTGCACACACACACACACACACACACATTCACCCTCAAGTAAGACACTTTTTTGTATTTGTTGATAAATTATGAGAATATGAACTAGGTGTGTACAGGGTTCATAGGTGCTTTGTAAACATCAGAGTCACTTGGGTCCTTTTCTCTAAAAGCCTGAAATCAAATTATCCAAGCAGGGATCACTACTTTCCCACACGCTGTTCACAGGCTGCATATTGACGAAGGGCAGAGAAAAAGTCCTCATAACTGATGTTTAGGTAGGAAGGCAAAGAGCTGAAAAGAAAGCACAGGGAGAAAACAGCAGTTAGATGATACACCGTAATTTGGTAGGGGGAACCAGAGGACAATGACCAAAAGAAGTTAAGGACAAGTAAATTATAAGCAAAATATGACAAATCATTTCTACTAAAAGACTGTTAAACTCACTATGAAACAGTTCAAGTAAAAATTAATCTGCCCTTCTTTCCACAAGAAGAGAAAAGCAACTTGTAGTGAGTTAGAGATACATAATCTGTTTAAAGCATAAGCCTAAGTGAATGCAAAGGTGGAGATCTGCATGTAAAGGATCTCATTCAAATCCCCTTAAGAACTCCCCTTGGTCAGAGTGAAGACAGCACTATGTGGACAGTTTATGAGAGCCAGGCTTCACACTGAGCAGAGGGGCACAGCATCCCCAAGTGATGATATACTGGAGCCATGTGGTGAGCAAACAATAAATGAACATTTATCTCCACCATTTCCAACTGCTCAAGGGGGCAATTACAGTGTGAAGACAAGAACTTTAAAGACAGAGTGAAGACACATTTTAAATACTTAAAATAATTTTCAATAATTAACATGAAAAAAAAGCTTCTAATTTATACAGCTTTATAATGAGGCTTAGAAATTCCAAACAATATCAGAGCCAAACAATGTGCCAGAGTACAAGAGTCACCGCCCCCACCCCCCAAAAAAGGATTGAATAAACCTACCATGAAGAACTGCTGCCTGTCCCTGAGGTTCTCTTTAGCTATGCTTTCCTTTATCCTTCCTGACTGCCAGAAATGCTGTAACAAGTCACCCACTTCCCTCCAATTCCTTGTCATCTCTTAATAATCTCTGCTATCAATCTTATGTCTTATTCACTCTACTGAAATGATTTCCTCAAAAAACACATTTAATGACATTCTTCTTCCTAAAGCTTGCTTCAGAGTCCTCGAGCTCCCCATTTTCCTAAGTCTTCCTCATTTTACCCTCTTTATCAACAGGCTCATCTCCTATCACTCTCCAAGAAGCACTATTCCATGAGTGCCACTACTCCTCAGAGGTTCAGAAACTGTCTTGCTATTTCCCAGTCTGTTCTGCTAGGGCCCTGCCATTCATTCCAAAATGATTAAGACATTTTTCCTGCCACCATGGTGCTCAGCCTGGTGGAGTGTAGACAAATACTGAACCAGCATCAATATAATGTGACAGATATATATACACAGGTCCATGGGAGAGCCTGTCACGTGCTACGTATCTGATGTCTATTATCAGATTTAAATCTTCAACTCCACATAAAAATGTCCATTTTACAAATATAGAGAAGTTTAAATAACTTTCTAAAGTCATATTATTGAACTGCACAGCCAAGATTCAAGATCCATCTGTTTTAAAACATACTCTTCTCTCCAAACCACTCCCAGTGTCACAAGGTATCAATACTGCCAATCGTGAAGCACACATGAAAGGCATCTTAAATGATTTGGAAAACCCCTAGAGAAAAACAGGTAAGAGAAACATATGTCCACCACAAGAAATCCAGAGTTTGGAGATCTGAGTTCTAATTCCACTTTGTCACAAGCTTGAAAAAGTCTCTTCCTCATTTTCCTCACCTATAAAATGTGGAGGTAGAACCAGATAATTTACAGTCCTTTTCAATTCTAACATGCTATGTGTTCTCTTCTGCCTCTTTGACACTTTTTTCTTTCCTGTCCCCAAGCTTGAAGAATTTCTTAAAGGACCCTTCCTACACTTTGGAGACACCCTCTATTTTCATAGTTTCAACTACTTCCTAGGTACTCATGATTCCCAAATATACATCATTAGCACTGACTTCTCACCCAAGCACCAATTCTACATCTTCTTCTGTCCTCCTGTTTCCATCTAAATAGAGTATGGCCTCAAAATCATCTACATCTTCCCTTTGAAAATCAATACTCCCTTAACTGTCTGGTTTCCCCTCTATAACATCATAATTCACCCAGTCATTTAGTCTTTAAAACTTAAGAGTTATTTCATTTCTTTTCTAATTTTTAACAATTAGTAAAGTGCTAGGCCTGTAATAATACTTGGTAAATACTGCTCATGACAGAATTTGTAGTATTTTCCTTCTAAGATCCAGAATTTAAATATATTTTAAGGCTACTAAGTCTCTCCCGTATTCTACATCAGGGGTCGGCAAATACAGCCCATGAAAACTTGATACTTGTTTTTGTAAATAAAGTTTTATCAGAACACAGTCACACCCATTTGTTTACATATTATCTACGGTTGTTTAGCTATACTAGCTGAGTTGGATAGCTGCAATAGAGAGGAGTAGTTGCAAGAAACTGTGTGGCCTTCAAAGCCTAAAATATTTATTATCTGGCCCTTTACAGGAAAAAGTTTGCCAAACCCTGTTCTAAATAAGTAATTTCATTCCTTTCACTGTATTCTCCCCTGAATTATAGTTATGGCCTCTTCACTTGTCTTTTTACCTCACTCTTTTGCAAATCCAAACCACTCTAGTACATAATTGCCAAGCAAATCTTCCAAAGTCACCATTCCCACATTATCCATAGGCTCAACAGTTTCCTACTGCCTATCTACTGTTACACACATTCCTTATATTGGCATTTAAAGCCTTCCAAACTTCAACTATTTGATTTCATACTACTGCCTAATACTGACTCCCTGCTCTGGTATGCCTATTTCTTTAAAACGAACCCCAGCCTTTCTTTTGTTTCCTTTCCAGCCCCTATACTTCCCAACTTTTCTCTAAATACAAAAATTCTACTCATTTTATATACCCTAGATCAAATCATACCTTTTCTGTAGCCTCAACCACTATGGCCCACAGAGATATCTCTCACTCCTGATCTCCTAAGATAATTAGTGTCAATGCCAAACATCTAGAAAACCATATACTCTTCTGTGTCTATCTCATTTATGTATATCTTTATTTTACCACTGATACTATGAAATACCTGAGGTAAAGGATCCAGTATTATAATTCTTTGGGAATTCTCACCAGATCTATACAGTACTGGGCTCAAGAAACACTTGCTGAATTGAAACAAAGTCAGTACACTATTAATTACTTACACAATCTCAGTCAATCTGATGTGCCAGGGAAGAAAGCCTAATGTGCTGTCCACAGGACCAAACTTCAATACTAAATCAGGATCAGGGATACCATGTGAACCTTGGAAATAAAGAAATACAAAAAATTTAGTATGTTCTGCTTACCAAAAAAAAAAAAAAGATCAAGGGCAAAATCTGTTAATCAAATTGGCTTCTTATGCTTTAAGTATATGTTCTCCTCAGAAGCTTTATCTGTATGTTTCCATGCTCCCCACGCTACTCCCCAACATATACTTTAATATCAATGTTCATTTCAAATGTGGAAGTTTTCTCAAAAGTCCATTTAACTGGATTAGTTACCTGATAAGGAGGGATAATCCAACTCCCACCCTAAAATCAACACGTATCCTCCAAATCTCATCTATCTTTCAAGACTCAACTTAGAACATGACTTCTCTTAGCATCCTGGGAAAGACACTGCTTGAAGGGCACAATTGCTGATTCTGGCCACAGAATCAAATAACTTCAGGGAATAAAAAACAATTGAAAAAGTCTCTACTTTCCTTCCCTCCCCCATTTCTCCCATTTTAAAGCTAGGGACCCAGAAAGTCCAACTCCTGGATATAGAATACAAATGCTTTCAGTGTTCCTCAGAGACCGAGCAACCTTGGAGAGGAAAAGTAGACCGTATACCTGCTCCACAAAAGGCATGACCATTTTTAATCTGTTTTATGAACTGATTTCTATAGGAGACCTGGCTTGGGAGAAAAAGGGATAAGGATGTTTCAACTGCTTTAAAAAGGTTGAAGAGTCACTGGCATAATGGAAAAGATGCTATAACCCAAAAGACCTAGGTTCTAACAGTTTCTAATATTCTATTTTGCCACTAACTTGCTTGTCACATGATCTCTCCACAGGGCTCAGTTCTTTCATTTGTCAAATAAGGAGACTGGATTAGGCAAGCCCATCAGCAGTAATATTGAAGAATTATTTCCCTAACAAAGTCCCTTTAAAATTTGGTAGAGTGAAGGGCTGGCCAGTTAGCTCACTTGGGAGAGCATGGTGCTCATAACACCAAGGTAAAGGGTTTGGATGTCCTTACTGGCCAGCTGCCATAAAAAATAAATAAATAAATAAACTTGGCAGAGTGAACGGACTTGGCAGAAGAACATATATTCCTCTGCCACCTAAAAAGTAATTCTCTTTAGTAAAAAATGACAAGAAGGAACTCCTGACTAGTAATGATGTGAAGAGGGTGACAATTAAACAGCATAAAACAAACCATTCGAGGGCACTGGATATTAACCAAAGGCAGACAATTATTCTTTGAAAAAAACAAAAACAAAAAAACAGCCAGAGCTTTAGGTAAGAATGACAAGAGTCTATGACCTTCTTGCCTGGGATTGTTCCCAACCCCAACACCTCTATCCTCAACGAATTAGAGAAAACTGTAGTTTTACCAGCACAGTGCTGATGGCAAAAACTAGATTTGCTGCTTGCTGCCAAAAAACATAAACTCAATTTGAAACTAGAGGGTGTGAGCAGGAAAGAGAGAGAGCAACGTTTAAAATCCATGGTTTGCCAGCTAAAAGTGGGAAACTCAAAAGAAATGAATAAGGAAAACCCACAGCTTTACTAGCCTGAGGTTGCAGCCCAAATGAGAGCAAGCAATACAACGGCCAGAAATTTAACAGGGAGATCCTGGAAATAAGCGTTCAGATAAACTCTCACACATCCATGGCAAAAACCAAGGAGACTTGAGAACTGGGAGCAATTTTGAATGCACACTCCAATACCACAGGAGATTACAGATGCCTTGTGTGTCTGAGCATAACCAGTGTGCAAATCATTGGCTGACCACTAAGCTAAGGAGACACAGAAAGCCGACAAAAAAAATAAAATTAAAAAAATCCAAAAAACAAACTAAGCAGAGACAGCAGTAGTCATCTTTATTTATAGACAACATGACCTTGTGTTTAGAAAATCCTAAGTCTCTATAAAAAGAATTACTAAAACTATTACGTGAATTTTAGCAATGCTGCAGGATAAAAAATCAGTATTAAACAATCCAAAAATAAGAAAAAAATATTCCATTAACAATAATATCAAAAAATAAAATACATAGGAATAAATTTAACAAAAGAAGAACAAACTCGATGCACTGAAATTACAAAACATTGTTGTGAGAAAAATTAAGACCCAAATAAATGGAGAGACATGCTATGTATGCTCATGGACTGAAAGACTCAATACTGTTAATATGTCAGTTTTCCCCAAATGGAGCTACAGATTCACTCAATCCATATCAAAATCCCAGCAGAGTTTTTCTGGAAATGAAAAGTTGATCCTACAATTTATGTGAAAATGCAAAGAAGCCTGAATAGTCAAAACAACATTGAAAAAGAAAATCAAAGGTGAGGGACTTACACTACCTGTACTTGCTTACTATACAGTAAACTACAGTAATCAAGACAGTTTGTCTTTATAAGGTCAGGCATATAGACCAATGGAACAGAATAGAAAGCCTAGAAATAAACTCACGGATTTATGGTCAATTGATTTTCAACAGAGATACCACAGTAATTCAAGGGAGAAAAAGACAGTCATCTCAACAAACAGTGATAAAAGAAAAAACTACCATCCTCTACCTCAACACCGTTGACAAAAGTCAAAATGAATTATAGACCTAAATGTAATAGCTAAAGCTATAAAACTTCAAGAAGAAAAGACAGGAGAAAAAAATTGTGACTTTGGGTTAGGCAAAGATCTCTCAGAAATTGGACACCAAATAAATGATCCATAAATTGGATTTCATTAAAAAAATACAAGACATTAAAAGAAGCCATTAAGAAATCAAAAAAGTAAGCCATGGACTGGGAGAAAGTATTTGCAAATCATACATCTTATCACTGATAAAAGACTTGTACCCAAAATATATAAAGACCTCTTAAAACATGATCGTAAAACAAACAACCCATTAAAAACAGGCAAAATAGTTGAACAGACACTTCACCAAAGATACATGTGACAAATCAGCACATGAAAAATACTCGTTAGTCATTAGGAAAATGTGAATTAAAACAATGAAATGCTATTACACACCCAAACCTGACAATACCATGTCTTGGCAAGGATGTAGAGAAACTAGAACCCTTTTCATTGCTGGTATAGATGTAAAACATACAGCCTATCTGGCTGTAAACAGATGTTAAATGTACAGCAGTTTGGCAGTTTCTTAAAAAGTTAAACATTCACTCACCATATGACATAGCAATTCCACTATTAGGCATCTACACAAGAGGAAGGAAAACATATCCACACACAGACTTGTAAGTGAATGGTCACAGCAGCCTTATTCGAAAACTGAAATGTACATCAACTGATGAATGGATAAATAAAATGTATCTGTATATATATATATATATATACATATATCTGTAAAAAAGATAAATCTGTAAAAAAGAATACTACTAACCAATAAAAACTAACAAATTACTAATGCATTCAAGATGGATGAACCCAGAAATATTATGCTGAGTAACCATAAAAGACTGTGCATTGTGTGATTCCTTTTATATAAAATATCTAGAAAAGACAATAGTTGGAAAGCAGATCAGTGGACGCCTGGTTTGGGTGGCAGGAGTGGGGACTGAATCCAGTCACAAGGGAACTTTGGGGGAGTGTTTGCTTCTGTCAGATTAATGAGTTAACCTAAGGACTATGTACATTCTCTTTTATCTTGAGTCTACAATCCCTGAAGGCAGCATCTGAACTCAACACCTTAGTACTTTTTCATTGACTACCTTAAGGCCACCTTTGGGCCCCACGCCAGCTTCATAAATTACTCTCTAGTTGGGGCCAACACGGTCCAGAAAACTGGCAACATGTTAGTAACCTTTGACCAGAAAGCCCCCACAGTTATTTACTACTCATTGACGTTGAATGTAGTTAGGCAATGAGAGTAGAGAATACAAGAGTGGGATAAGAATTGAGTAGTTAATGAAAATAAGCAGTTAGTGAGACCAATAGGTAATGGATACTCTATGTGAATGAATGAAAAGTATGAATATTTGAGATATGAAATAGGGCTATAGGTGTTATCAATGGACATGAATTTTTTAGAGATTGCCTTTCTTCAAAAGGATCAAGGATAATGCTAGTGAGCAGAAGGACCATAAAGTTAAGGGAAAAATTTCCTAGAGCAACTCTAGAGAAAATAAGCAAACCAAAGCCTTTTATAAATAGCTGAAGAAAAAAATAAAATGTTATATTTGATATAAGACAAACACAGTGGTATATTTGGTACAGTATAACAGAAGGAATACTAAGAAGGAATAGGTTATGTTCTTGGGATTGCCTCATAAAAACCTACTGAGTTCAAACTTGATAAAAAATTCAAACTAAAAAAAGGGAGGAGAGGGAAAGGAAGACTGGCAAGCAGAAGTCCTATTTGCAAGAATATTCATCACTGTAAAAAAAAATCCTCAGAAGTCCTCACCTTTACCATTAAGTCCTCAGGCAAGTAAGTTGACTACAAATTTCATTACCTCAAAACCATTTTCAAACTTAGGACTTTAAATTTAAAAAATATAACAAAAAAAATCAAGTCTTTATAGTGTGAAAGGAACGAAAACACTTTCATACTGTATCCTTGTGGTACAAAACTAAAAACATATACACATATGACTTACTAAGTAAACTGTTTAACATATCTACATCCAACTCTGTGGATCTCTTTTGCTGCTGGGCTACTAACTGGCAAAAGTCCTGAGCAGCTCTCACAATATCTGCTTTTCCATCTTCTGGGGACAGCACCTTCACTGCCAAATGGCAATTTAAAACTAGAGGGAAAAAAACAAGATATTTAGAAAGACACCCTCTTCTAGATGTATTTCAAAATCCATTTTAAGAAATATTAAGTTCAAACTAAAATAAAGGTACCTTTCTTATACAAAACAAGAATTCTTTAAGCCCTTCAACTTTAACATCAAAACATACTTAGCTATTCTCCCCTGAAAGGACCCATGCACCCAAAATACATTTATACATATATTGACATACCACCTTCTTTTCAAATGACCTTGTATTGTAACTAAATCCTCAAAAAATACTGGAATTTTAAGTATTGGCTAGCTAACAATTTTTACTCATCTAAAATTCCATCTACAATCATAGTACATTTATCAGTAACATAAAAGAAAAAAGTGAAGATTGGAGAAAAAATTATGTCTCAATGGAATATGCACTGTCTATAGCACACACATCTTATCAAATTCTGATTCTATGGGAGCTACTTTATAACAGATAGGTTTCTAGGAAGCTGATAGCAATGCAAGATTCTTATCTACGGACATGCAAATTCTTTCTTGTCTGGTAGATGTTCAATTATCTTCCCTCTCACCCCATAAAAAAACGGTTTTACGTCTATTTACATATTCATTTCAATATTACTGAACGATAAATGTGTCATTCTTTGGGTTCACTGGTAAACCAGTTATAAAATCTGCCTGGTTAAATAAAATCTTTACCACATGTTCGCTTTTCAATATCTGAGAATCATTATTTTATCTTTTTCTGGAAATTATCTTTTAACAAGATGAAGAGGGAAGAGTAAATCTCATTACTGAAGATGTTGACAATAAAAGCTATAATAGAGCAAAGTGAATGAGTGACAGAATTTGTCTTGAAACACAAAACACACATCTTCATATGTTACGTGTTCAATTTTACACTCACGCTTACCTTGATCATCATTACTATTTGCAAACTCTGGTGAGTATTTGGAACAATCTAGGCCAAGAAGCTCCTGCTGCTGTTTTAAAATTTCATCCATCAATCTAGAATTATTTCTTTTGAAAATTCCTTAAAAAGAAAAAAACACAAAAAAACAAGTAAATCACAACTAGGCCAATTTACCCTCTTCAATGATTAATGGATGCTCATTGTGAAAAGAACATAGATCTAGAACTGAACAAATTCCAAATAAAGAAGCAAAGGAAAACACAACAATAAAATTTTGTTAATACAAGAGTCTGTTAAGGTTAAGGTCAAAAAGAGGACAGGGATAACTACTCAAAAAAAAAAAAAAAAAAGCCCCTTTTCTTTAAATTCTATTTCTAACTAAGATATCAGTATCTAACCAGTCACCCAGGCATACTCTCAACTCTCTAGCATTATAACCACCCCCAAATACCCTATTAATGAGCTAAAAAAAAAAAGCCCATTTATCCATTGCCTGCACTGTTCCAAGCCATTGCCTTCTTTATGATATTACAACCACCTTCTAATGGGTCTTCCTGCCCCTTCTAACAAGTATCACTAGATTAACTACCAGATTAATCTTCTTTGGATACAAATTCAATCCTGGCACATTGCAACCTCAGTATCTTCAATGGCTCCTAAAATGCCTAGTGTATTAAGAACAAACTGCTCAGCTCAATATTAAAATTCCAGCCCATGTTTCCATGCTGGGTGGATGGAAGTAATTTATGTGTATGAAATAAATGAACCTTTCTATTTCTCTATAGCACTCTATCCCTAGAAAATTAGAATTGCCTTATGTCCCTCAAAAACACATGGAATGACTCCAACCTCCAAACTTTGTATTACCTTCCCAAGCCCACAGCTGTGAAATTCTCTTAATTCTTCACAGGCCAGCTGAAATGTCACCTACCTTCAAGAGGCCTTTCCTAATTCCCCAGCCAGATGTGCCTTATTTCTCCTCTGACTCACCCTCACTCCCCCTCCACATATACACATTTTTTTCAAACCCCTTAATAAACTAGTATTCTAATTTTTATTATAATTATAGCTTAATCCCCCCCTACTGAACTGTATATAGTCTTACTTGTGAACTGGTGAACCTCTGTCTTACTCATCTCTTTTTCCGTAAGCACCTTCCACATAGCAGGAGTTCAGTGTTTATTTAATAAACTGAATTACCAGGGCACAAAGTGCCACTAACAACAAAACCTGAAGAAACAGATCACTGAATGGAATTTTTAAAAAAGATTCCAGGAACCTCTCACAATAAAAGATACTTCCTTATTGCACACAAGCAGAAATTCTGTTAAAAAGGAAGAGTATTATAGAGGCACTGTTACAAAGTATCTTTTAAAGACTTTCATAAAATTATTATAAATAGAACCTTTGTCTCGAATGATTTGGATGAAGAGATGAAATTTAAAAGTACAGTTTCTGATAAGTGCTAAATGCAAAGACAAGACAGATTATGAGCAAGATGATACCTAACACCTCACAGCTTGACCCCTCTCCATCCAGAAATCTGATTATACTCTATGGTACTTACCTTACTAACCCATAAACAATATTATCAGCTTACAATTTCCTTCATGATTCACACATGTCTACTCACATGATACAAAAGAAACAAAATAAGATATGAGTGGCTTTGACTGAAATAGGCTAGGCAATTCTTCTAGTAATATCACAGAATATGTAGAGATTTCTTTTTCTCGTATAACTCATCCTGTTTGTTTTCTAAAATCTAAACAAAAGCCAAAATGATGGAAAAAAATAAACTATCACCAAAGTCATTTTATGTAAAAGGAAGTTGAGACCACATTCTTTTAGAAATAACTGACTGAAGGGAAAAACACTTAAAAATACTCAAATTTTCTGAGAAAACTGTATTTTACAGAATTATATAGTACTAAACTTCAAGAATTGTTTTCTCCTGTTCTTTTACAGATGAGGAAATAGGCCCCAGAAAAGTCAAGCAACTGTCCTTGACAAAGCACCTAAGAATTTGGCCTGAAATCCAGGTCTCCTTACTTCTAATTATTCAGGTTCAGTAACTATTTCTAACTGATAAAAGAGCAAGGCTAAACTCACTTAACTATTAAATAAATTTTGAATTGCCCTCAAAAAAAGTTAAACTCTATTAAACAAATGAAACTGATCTTTTTACAAATGAGTAGTATCTTTCGAAAAAACTAAGACTAGAGCTCTTCTTAAAAAGGCTTTTAAGAAGATTTCATAGCACAAACAGATACTTGAATTCTTTAAGAATCACCTGGGAATCGAAAATAAATTTTTGCAATAATGATTTAAAGAATTTTTACATTATATTTTGTTGCTCTATAACTATATCTCATGTACTTTCAATTTCCCAAATGTAAACTATTTGGAATATATGTAGAAAAGATATATAAAAGAGCTGCTTTTGAAAACACACACACACAGACAAGAAAACCTTCACTTGCCATGAAAGAATAAAATATTATTCTAGGAAAACTGCGCCTCGGATAGACTACAATGTTTTTGTTATTTCTTGATAAACATTTAGCTATGCACTCTGGGGGCCAAAGTTAGGCTTCTTTTTACATTCTAAGAGACATTTATTTTAAATTGTAGTATTAAAAACTATATAAGATGTTCAAAGTTTAGACAATAAGGGAATGTCCCCTAAACTATCATCATAATGAACTATTGGAATATCCCCAACCTTACCATCATAGCACAGCCATTTCCACTTTTCAATATTCCCTAATATTTGTCCACATGTATGTGTAATCCTGTTATATATGATTATGCGATTTCATATTCTGCTTTTTTCATTTGTATATCATGTATCCTACCTTGGTGTTAATCTCATGGTTATTTTAACAATTGCATTATTTTTTAAAAAATGGTCTTTGCTGATTTTGTTCAGTTCTTAAAATATAAAAATCAATATTTCCCCAGCTGTACTATTACGTGGATCACTCTATTGCATATTCTCTCAGCATTCAGGTTTCTCATCATATTCAAGGAAAAGAAAAGCTCTAGTATGAACATAAAAAATAAGTGGAAAGAGGGGTATTATACTAGTTTGAGATCAGAGATGTTGGTAGCGACCATAACATGAAAAGGCCTGTGGGCCTTGGTAATAAATAGAATTCCAATAAAAAGAATTCCAAGTACAATGAGAAGCTGCTGGAGGGTTTCAGTCAATTTGAATGATGTTATCAAAAAAGATGACTTTGCTGGTAGGTGAAGAATGGATTATGGCCAGAATAGAACTCAAACTTAAGTGGCTGCAATGGAGACTAAAACAAGTGGCAGATTTGCCATATATTCTAGAAGTAAGGCCAAGAAGGCCTGTTGATAGATTACAGGTGAAACATGTTATAAGAGAAGACTCACATACATATATCTAAGTTTTTAGCTTGAGCAACACAACAGAAGGTAGCGATATTTTCAGAGATGGGGGAAAACTGTGAGAAGGGCAGTTTTGGAGGGAAAGATTCAAGAGTACTATTTTGAACATGTCAGGCATTTAAGATGCCTAAGAAAACAAAAGTAGAGATGTTAGATATTAGGTAAGGAGCTGGACACAGAAGACTGGAATCACAGAAGAGATCAGGGCTGAAGATACAAATCTGTGTGTCAGCACACAGATGACATCTAAAGCTATCAGACTTGATAGATCATCTGGGACTGGGATCAGCAAACAACAGCTTTGGGAATACAGCCACACATTTATTTATGGCTTCTTTTTGGCTACCTTGGCAGAGTTGGGTAATTGAGATAGAGTAAACAACAGAAAGACAGGGATAAATATACAGCTCAAAACTCTTAGGACACCACAAATTTAGAAGTGGAACACAGAAAAAGACAAAAGGCTCAGAAGGAACAGGCAATGAGAAAGGAAGAAATCGAAGCATATGTGGTATCATAGAAGTCAGGAGCAGAAAATATTTCAAAGAAAGTAAAATTACATATGCCCAGTCTATACTGTATTCGGAGACCTTATTGGAGTCTTTTAAAATCTCTACTATATGAGCTAAAATGACTTTTTGGAATTACTTATAGCTTTCAATAGTTAGTCTACTCTTACACACAAGCATGTACACATAAACTATTACTGGGTAATAAAGCTATGATATACATACTTTTTTCATATTAAGTGAACCAAGTAACAATCTTATCTATATTCTTTAAATATTTACTCTTTTAAAATTTATCTGAAATGTATAATCAATTCTGTAAAATGAGACTTTTAAAACACGCATTTAATAAATCTTCTTTTAAATCTAAAATTAAAATTTTTACTTTATTCATTTTCTTCTACAGAAACAGACTTTTAAGAAATATCTAACAGAAAGTATTTAGAAAAGCAAAGGAAGGGAGAAAAATGAGATAAACACTGAAATAATCTCTCATTATAAAACGCCTCATTAGCTATGGAATTAAAGTAACACTTATTTTGGGCTGGCCCAGTGGCGCAGTGGAGAATGCGCCGCTTGGGAGCGCGGCAGCGCTCCCGCCGAGGGTTCGGATTCCATGTGGAGACCGGTTCCTGCTCACTGGCTGAGCGCGGTGCGGGCGCAACACCGAGGGTTGCGATCCCGTTACCGGTCAGTAAAAAAGACAAAAAGGAAAAAAAAAAAAGGATAAAGTAACACTTATTTATAAATAAATCTATTCTTCAAATTGTCTTAGGTTTTTTCTTTTTAAACTAGACACCTGAGCAAGTTACCTAGGGGTTATCCTCAATTAATTTCTCTAATAACCCAATTATAAAACTATTAGAGGACAATCTTCAGAGAAGAAAACATATACTTATGGAGGAATTATTTAAAATGAAAAAAAGAATCTGTTAAGATTTTATATGACTGAAGTATCACAACAAAATAAACCATAAAAAAATAAATAAGCCATTAAACTATTTTATTTCAAGAAAGTCTCAGAATACCTCAGAGAACAACAAATTATACTGGAGACACCCGCAGTCCTAGGCAGGAGCCAAGGATAGCCTCCTCCACCTGGAAGCAGGCAAAAGCAGAGCACACCCGGAATACTAGGCAGAAGCTGAGGGCAGCATCCCCTGCCCAGAAGCAGGCAAGGAGCATGCAGAA